CACAGCTGACCATACGGGATCCAGCTGCCTTAACCACCACACCACCAACTGGCTCAATTTCAGAGGTTTAAAAAAATAAAAAAGCTAGAGTATCTGCAGTTATACAGAGAATGAAAATAAGATGCCTGCAAAAAATTGTGTATCGGTACTATACAATGGCAGAGAAAAATGTATGATCAATCGTTGTCAACCCTTTTCTCTTTATTAAGATGGTCTTGATATCTGCTCCTCTCCCCCTTAAAAAAATGGTCTTTAGAACACAACAGTATGCTTAATGACATAAGCAATTTACATTTTAGTTTAAAATTCATGTTTCTTACAAACAAGTGAGAAATGTTTGTCAGGCTGGGACTCTGTGTAAAACTGGCCAATGTAGCTCTTTTTCCAGCCCAACATCCAGCGAAAAGCCAGAATCCATGTGCATTTGAGGTGGGCCTAGCCATTCCCCTTCAACTGGAAAGCCTCTGCCCCAAACCTATTCTTCGACCCAACACACCCAGCGAAAAGCTAGGCTTCTCACACTCAGAATTAACTTTAAGAAGGTGGGAAGTAACATATGAGCCATCAGATAACCAGAAACCACCACTGTAGAGGCACAAGAAATATGGGAAAAAACCAAGAAAATATCTCTCCTCTAAAGGAAAAGAACTGTCCTTCATCATCCACAGGCAGTACAATGGAACTCGTGTAAATGTCAGATAAAGGATTTAGGATATCCATAGTAACAAAGCTAACAGAGATGCTAGAGAAGAGAGACAGCAAACTCCAGAAAATGTAAGAGAAAGAACCGAGTTACAGGAAGTGAGGAAGTTCTTCCACAATCTGAAAGAGGAAATATATACCATAAAAAAAGAACCAGACAGAACTGTTACAATGAAAGCTGTAATACAGGAAACCAAAACCTCCCTTGAAAGTATGAAAAGCAGATTAGATCATGTAAAAGATCGAATCTCAGATGTAGAAGATAGAACCTCTGGCCTAGAAAAATTCACCAAAAAGTCTGAGAAAATAACCAAAAAAGAAAAAAAAATGAGAATAACATACAAGTAATACTAGACACCATTAGACACCCAAACATCTGAATAATCGGTATCCCAGAAGGTGAAGAACCTAATCAGGGCATTGATAATCTATTCCATGAAATCCTGAAAGAAAACTTTCCAAACCCGGAGAGTCATTTAAATATCCAGACCCAAGAAATACAAAGGACCCCACATAGAGTCAACCAAAGGAAGTCTTCTCCAAGGCTCATCATAGCCTGATTGAACAAAACCACAGAGACAAGACACTAAAACTGGCAAGAGAAAAACATTAGGTTACTTTCAAAGAATATCTCATCAGACTAACATCGGACTTCTTATTGGAAACAGTGCGAGCAAGGAAAGAATGGGAAATTATATTCAAAGTGTTACGCAAAAAACAATTTCAACCAAAAATACTATATCAGGCAAGATTATTCTTCATGTAGGAAAGATAAAAAACATTCTCAGATAAACAAAACCTGAAAGAATTTACCAACACCAGACCAGCTCTTTGAGAAGTTCTGAAAGGAGTACTATTTCATGAAAACTAAGACAGACAAATAAGAGAACAAAAAATGACGAAGAAAAAAACCAACTTAATGGTAGGGACAAGTTCTGAAATATCTATAATAATAATGTTGAATGTTAACAGAAAGGTCAGATCACAGTAACACTGCAAATTCAACAAAAGGGAGATTACAGGAGACTGAACTGGTGAAATAGAATTCTATGATTTTTTTCTAAAATGTTAATGGTTTTCTTCTATGCTTTGTCTTCCAGATTTAAGGATTTTTGTTTTCCAGTTGTTGAGTTCAGCAATTTGTTTTTTAAAAAAGAATTTTTTAATTGAAACATAAACTTTCTCCCCTGGTGGCCCCTTTGCAATGGAAAATACTTGTGAGCATTCCTATTTTGTGACATAATGGTTATTTGCATAAGTTTAATAATACAATAGTATCTGTTGCCTTGCATCAGAAATTGAATTCTTACAGAGCTTTGTGTAAATAACAGATCAAATTGAGATTAACTTTTTTTTTTTTTTGCAAGTAAGTTAGTTTGTATCTCTCTTTCGTAAAAGGGGAAATGGAGAGGGGAAATGGAGAGAGGAAAAAAATGTTTTAGAAGAAAATTACAGTGCATTTACCACTAGATTCTAGCTTTGTCCATACTTTAACATCTTTCGTGAATCAATAAAATGTGGGGGAAAAAAGTTTAGTATGGAAGGGAGGGAGGGGAAAGAGGAAGGAAAAAAATGGGTAAAAGTATGCTTAATTGAAAAATAAGGTGTTTGCTGATGATAATGTATATAGTAATATCTTTGTCTTGACTGACACGCATGGTATTTGTGTTGGAAAAAAGAAATGTACACTGTAAAAACGTGATAAAACATAAAAAATAAATAAATAACTGGTCAATGTAATTATAATCACAAAACAGTATTAAAATATGAAAAATAGGGGACCAGCAGATGGCATAATAGTTATATCACTGGGCTCCCACGTAGTCAACTGCAGTTTGAGTCCCAGACCCAGCGACTTAAAACTCACACCAGGTGCATGTGTGTGCGTGCCCAAAATCCTGAAAGGAGAATAAAGAAGGGATTGACAGCATGGCCATTCCCCCTGGGGAGTGATTTCTCACTTTTTGTCTGTCTGTTTCTCTCTGTCTCTCTGGCAAGATGACCCCTCGTGTGTGTGTGTGTGTGTGTGTGTGTGTGTGTGTGTGTGTGTGTATTAGCATGGTAAGTAGATATTGAATAGTTCATTCAAAATCTCAATAGTGTTTACTCAGAGGTGATAAGATTGAAACTCAAAAAAAGAAATTATTCTAAACAACAGCCAAAAAGGAAATTATATTTTCTTGGGTGGGAAAATAATGTGTGAGTTTTACTTCCTTCCCTATTTTTTAAAATATATTCTAAGTTTTCCACTGTGAGAATGTGTTTCACTTTCATAACTAGAAAATATTCTATAATAAAATTAGATGAAATACTTACAAATAGAGTTTTATTTTAAAAAATTATTGGTTAATAATCATTAATAAATTTATATTACACGTGTTTCTTTAGTTCGTATAATTCTTTGCATGAGTTATTTATCCATTTTACCTTCATATTAAAATTATATTTTTTTAAGTTTAATTGAACCCATTGTTTTTGTACTACTCTACACATTTGGAAACAAATTTAGAAATGGACTTGATACTAATCTTATTCCAAAAATATGTTTGTAACTCTGTAATTTATCAAGTATTTTTTGTTGAAATACTAGGTATTGTTGCAAAATATTTATTTTTAAGGAGTAAAAGGGACAAGAGCCAAGAGATATAGAATTCCAGACCCAGCAGCTTGAGCAACATGCCAAGTATGTATCACACATGCCCAATAATCCCAACAGGGTGGAGAGATGGAGGAGAAGGGATGGTGGTATGACCACATCCCAATGAGGCAGTTCTCTCTCGCTCTCTTTATGAAAGCTAATGTGCCCTCTAGCAATTAAAAAAAAGGATTTTTTAAGTTAACTGAACTACTATATAGCATATACACACACATATATACACACTAAAGTATAAAATCATTTGGAAATATGCCAAAATTTTTCTCACCAAATAATATTTATGCAAATAAAGCTTCAGTTTTGTAGTCTAATATATAATAACAATAAGGTACATTTAATTTCCAAATCTATAAAAGTCTCAAAGGAACATCCTTACATTATGTTGAAACTAGCCAGTGTGTATACAACATGAAATTTTCTTCTTTATCTACAAGAAAAGGGAATAAAGAAAAATATGTTTCAACTTTTCAAATTCCTAACTTTCCACAGATAATTTTTTAATAAAAGAGAAACATTTTGAAAAACACATACAAAGCAAGCTATTTAAAAATACATAATGAAGGAGGGAAACAAGGGGAAGGGGAGAAAAGTAAAATATATATTTAAAAAAAAAAACAATAAATAAATACAATTTTAAAATACCTGATTTTTTAAGCTTCCCTTACTAAAGTAGATATTAAGTAACTAAATTACAAAACCTTGTCAGTCTTTGCATGAAATAATTCTAAATTTTAATAAGTGAGTATCAAGGTATTGACTAGTCTCATTATCTTCAGCATTCTCCCTGAAGGAGACCACGCTAGGCCTCTGGCTTAGCTTCTAGGGTTTGGTGTGGACTTTTGGTGAACTTAGACCTACCTTCTCAGGTAAGAGTGAACAGAACCAGGGGATGAGGTGACAGCAGAAATGCTGCCTCTGGGCCCAGGTCATCTGCATCTGTCTCCTGTGCACCTGCTGCTCTACAATAGGCCACAGCTAACAAGACAGAATGACGCAGATATTAAAATCTGGAAAAGATAAGCTGATAATAAACCCTCTCCAACGAGCCAACAGTATGTTATTGAGAAATATACTAGGAGGTGCTTTTATCCTAAACCAGCATCAGGAAGTGAGCAAACTAAATAGAGTAGGTAAATATTATTACGTTAAAAATAATTCCAAGCAGGGGCCACCAGGAACAACAGTCATGAGTGTTAACAACTATAAATGAAAACACATGTCCATTAAAACGACCTTAACTGGTGATTGATTTGAAAGAAATGTACTTCTCTCTTAGACCTCTGTACAGAGGAAAGAACTATTATCGCTTTTTTAAAAACTCATTTTCAAAACAGGTAACTTGTGCCCGTGAAAGGAATGTTTTTAAAAATCAGAACATAAATTCTGTAACATCTTATAGTTAGAAAACACTTTATACTTTTTTTAACTACAACCTTTAGGAAGATGTACATTTTATATCTTGATTCAATGCCCATGTGCATTTGCATCCATAACAAGGTCAAAGTTTCATTAAAAAAAATAAATAAAACCTTCATTTAATTTACTCAGATATTTTGTATTTTATTCCATTTTATTTTTTTTTAATTGGTGGGACTTATAGCCCAATAATGTTACTAACCACAATTAGAAAAACACTACCTTAAGCTTTGCGCAGTGGCAGTATCATAGCCAATGAGGTTTATCCAAGGCGTGATTATTGCTAATAGGAAAACACTACCTTAGAGATTATATGGTTACATCTATTTATCCCATCCGTTTTTAAATTCTTATATAAGAAATTTCCAAAATGACCCACTCACACAGGGAACCAGTCTTCAACATATCAAAATGATTAGCTGAACAAGTACAATTTCTTATCTATTCTGTTACTTTGCAACAGGAAATTCAAGGATCTTTATGACAGATTATCAGTTCCAACTCATCACTCTCCAAACATTCACACCGGGGTCTTTTCTTCATGGGAAGTAGAAGGTACTTTCCTGCCCTTTGCATCTAACATGTTTCAGCCAAAAGAATGTGGATTGGAATTACAATGTGTCAGTTCCAAAGCTAGTCTGAGACTGGCCTCTCACATTTATGAATGCTCTCTGTCCCATCACCAAGAATAGAACACACCCTGCCCAGCCCACTTGCACAAGGAGGTTGAGAGACCTGTGAAACAGAAGGTGACATGAAGGTGTACAACATGAGGCAGAAGCTACCATAGTTAACTTTGCAAATCCAAGAGCAGGAGTTGCTATTATTTTTAAGGTACCGAGTTTGGAGGATACTTTTTACACAACATTATCATATCAATAACAAGCTGAGTTCATTATATTTCTGAAAGAAGATACCAGGATCTACTGCCCTGTTCTCTTACCTTGGGATCAGTCCTGAAATACTGATACAATGGGTCATCAGTGATCTATTATAAATAGCCACTAGCAGATGGTGTGATGGTTATGTGGCTGGACTCCCATGTAGTTGACCACAGTTCAAGTCCCAAACCTAGTGACTTAAAACTCACACACATGCCAGGTAAATGTGCATGCATGCCCAAGGTCCCAAGAAGATAATGGAGGAGAAGAAATCATGGCATTGCCACCTCCCCAGGAGTGATTTCTCACTTTCTGTCTCTCTGTCTCTCCAGAAAGCACACACCTCTTATAGCAAAAATCTATCTTAAAAAAAAAGCCATTTTAAAGACAGTCATAGCAACAGCAAAAGAGCATGCAATGAAATTATCCTTTACTAAATGAAACTGACCTTTTACTGAGTGACTATAACTCCTGCTTCAGAAATTTCTAGACAATCTGTTAGTTCAATAAATAATACCAAAGATTGATTCTTGTTAACAATCCATAGAAAATAGCGTTCACTTTCTGAAAATGGGTTTAATGTGACTGGACTCATACATATACCTGTCTTTCTGTTGAATGAGTTTTCTTTGTAAGTAAGCACAATGTTATGATTTGTGTCCCTCCAAAATGTATGTGTTGACATTTGGTTTGGAAGGTATCAAGAGGAACCTTACTTGATTGTGGTGTTGAAAGCGAAGACCTTCGGGAATAATTCAGTGTTTAGGGTGGAGCGCCTATGACTTGATTCCTGGCGAGTTTATAAGGACAGGGAATGTGTTCAGGAGGAACGCATGGTTACACACCACTCTCCGGCCCCCCACCATGTTGTCATAAAGCCTCATCAAGTGATGTCCCTGGAGTTTGAACCTCCAAACTGTTAGCTGAACAAACTTCCATTCTTCTCTCAGGATCTTGGGCATGCATGCAATGTGCCCAGCATGAGTTTAAGCCACTGGAACTGGGACTTGAACCGCAGTTAACCACAGGGGAGTCCAGCAACATAGCCATTACACCATCTTCTGGCCCCCCCCCCCGTTTGTTCTTTTAACTAGTAAGTTTATTTAATTGGGTAAGTTTTCCTTTCAGAAATACTTCATAGTGAGTTAGACACACAGATACATATTATCATCAACAGATAATTTTCTATTTTTGTGTTTCTTAAATGTTTTGCTTCCTTCTTTTTCACTTTGATTATTTTAAAAAAGCTTTATTTTGAATGTCCACAGTAAACACAACATACTTTCATGATAAAAAATAAAAGACGTTGAAGAAGAATAAAATTTAAAAACATGTTTGCTATTAACTAATGGATTTTAATTGTCTGTATGAAATTCATTTACTAAGATTAAATGAAAACGTGTTGTATTTGCTTATTCTGAATGTACCCATTTTGTGAAGTCTGAGATCCCCTTCATGGATTCAACTACATGTAACTTAATGTGTGACATCTGTGCTGGCTGTCACCAAGACTTTTCAGACAGCCTTTGTAATTCCTGTTTTTGTACCTCAGTTTTTATTTGGAATAATTCAATGTAATTTTAATAAATGGTGTTTCTGTGGGTATGTTATTGAGGTTTTTCAAAATACATCTTTTTCGTTTGTTCTGTTTTGCTATGGGGCACATTCGCTTGCCGGAGTGAGACTGAGTGAGAGAAAGCGAGAAATTATCCCTCAGGAGTGATGGTCACACAAGAGTTCCTCCTTCATTCTCCTCTCAGGATTTTGGGCATGAACAAACATGCATCCAGCATATTCTTCAAGGAGTCTCCAACTGCTCAGTCAGCCATGTGGGATCCAGCCACCTGAACCTCTACACCACCTACTGGCCTGAAAATATATCTTTAGAAATTATTTCTATGTGAAAATAATGCTAATCGAGCACTTACTATTAAAGTAATTATGCTAAGTGTATAACTATCCTCAAAATAACCAAATGCAATAGGTATTATTATCCCCACTTTACAGATTATAATGAGTTGGGGAGAGTTTAAGTGGTTTTTTCCAATGCCATATTATAAGTGGCAGCCAGAAATCAAGCTACTGCCTAATACCCATGTTTGTACTGTTAAAGATAATTCTGAAACACCTCCAGAGGCCAGCTTTGAACATGCTTAGCAGCTGATTATGGGAAAAGATATTGCAATCTCACATACACACTTAAATAAAGGAAAAATAATTTGGTAAAATGGACTGAGTGAAGGGAGGAGGGAGTTAGTAGAGACAATTATTCTCAGTAGCGTTATTGCTTCCTATGCACATCTTACATATGGGAAAAGGTCTTAAGAAAGTCAGGAGTGTCTCCACCAACATAGTTTAGAACAGTGCTTCACAATAAGGGGTGGGGGCAGATAGGCTTTATTGCAGGGACAGTAGGCATTTACTAGTTAGGTTAGCCTGAAAGCAAGAGTTTTTCAGCTACCAGGATGAATTAGAAGAAAAGAAAGAATGAAGATGGAAGGAGAGGTATTTTAGAGGGCAGAGGCTCAGGGAGACAGAGGGGACATGGGAAGCTTTGATCCTTGAAGAGAAGAGGAACACTTCCCTTTCTTGCTCTTCTTCATTTCCTGTTTCAGTTCTCTAGGGATATCATAGCAAAATACCACAGACTAGAGGGCTTTAAGAACAGAAATTGATTTTCTCATGGTTCTGGAGGCTGATTGTCTAAGACCATGGTGATGCAGGAAGATGATGATGCAAGAAGTTGTGATGCATGTGCCCAGTACCCAATGAAGGAACATCAGCAATCCCGATTTTTGTCTCATATTCACGAAGAATTAGAGACATAGACACAGAAAAGGAATAGTGAAGTGGAGAGTTAATTAAGAGAGGGAAGAAAGATCAGAGCTCCCAGGTAAGGAGTGGGTCCTGGAAAATGGGGTGCCAATGAAAAACTAAGGCAAGGGATTTTTATCTGTGTCAGGGGGCTTTGTTTGAGCTTCTTGTTTTAATTTAGTCTCTGAGAAGCTGACTATGTGAGAAGAGAGAAGCAGTGTGCAGGAGGACTGGCTATCATTGTGGAATGCCAGCTCACTGACAAGCTTAGTGCTACTCAAAAGGAACTTGCAGGGTGTAAGCTGCCTGCAGGAAGTGCTGCTATAGGATGGAGGGAGTTGAGCTGCAGGTGTAAAATCCTAGGTTCTTCAGGTTCAGATCTCTAAGAGATTTGTCCTGAGATGTCCTAAGAGTAAAAAAACACAAACACACGGAAGTAGGAAAAGATACGTTTTAATAGAAAAGTAAAGATTTCTAATCTGAATGGCATGTGGGTTGACAGCTGCCAGAGGACAACTGCATTGGGCATGAGACTAGTTAGGTTCTGCTTTTATCCTGAGGGTTAGTAATGAATATTTAACAGGGGAAGTTCTGTCGTAATAACTGGCTTCTTTGTTTGATTTCCCAGGCTTTTTCTTGGGCTTGCATAGGGGAGAATTGTATTATCTCATCACACATACCCAGGGTGGTCTCTGAAGGAATGAGCATCCGTATCTGGATACACTGTCCAGATGTTGATTTAGTGTTCTATGCTAGTGGTGAATTCTGTGTGTACATCTGAGACAACAGAAGGAAGATAATAACCATGCTGGTGCCAAAGGCCAGTTGGAAAGGATGGGTCTAGCTGCAGTTCCTGATAGGCTGTGAATGATGAAGCGAGTTGTAAAACCACTCTGGTTGTCAGAAGCCCTCTGTGTGAGCAAGCATGAGAGCTGATGCTTGATCTCTAGTGAGAACAATGAATGACCCTTCTTGAAGGCTTGACTGGAGTGACTTCGTTTGGCAAGTTGGTTCTATCTTAATATATGTGTGTCCACTTCCTATCATACTGATCCTTCTTTGGGGATCCCTGCCCTATTTACCTACTTACTGGGTCGAATTCCTGTCTCAGTCTTGTCAGGAGATTTGTCTACTCCCTGGACCTCTATCCTTGGCTTGAAAATGGCACCCTCTCATTACGTCCTCACATGGTCTTGCACATCCTTGGAATCTCTTCTGAATCCAAATTTCCTCTTAAGGACCCCAGATAGCATCAGTACCCACCCTAATAGTCTCATTTTAACTTAATCATCTCTTTAAAGGACCTACGTAAATACGGTCACATTCTGTGGTACCAAGGATTAGAAGTATAGCATATAAATTTGAGGGGAACACAATTTATCCAATAACACCAATGTATCAATTTCACTCATCTTCCAAAACTCAATTCACATGCTACTTTGATCTTACACTCAGAAAAATCCTCTCATCTTTCCACTTTGAAGCACTTTATCTTTTTTATGCTATCTTGTAAAACACTTATTTATTTTTTTCAGAATTTACTTTTATATATGAAATAATAATATATTACAAAGATGTTCCTTCATATATATAGTTTAGCTGTGTTAGTGATTATGTAAGTGAAATTGACATTTGATATTAACTTTACTTGGATCTTAGAATTTT